AGGCCTAATCTATGGGATCTAATTGGTCGAGTGGAGGTAATTGGCAGTAGGCGGTCTCTCAAGTACCCAGATCCCAGATTCTTGCCTTTAAGATAGATAGATATTTAGTTACAACTGTGTAACTACACCAGAGCCTTGACCATTTGGCTCTTCATTAGCCATAATTAAGCAACTAGCTAATCATCAGGCTTGCTACTGAATAAGAAACTATCTGAGAAGGGAGTCAGAACATTACCCTGGAGGATTGCATGAGATTGTGTATTATGTCAAGAGGCACGCTTTAAAGTATCACTCATTTTTGTGTGTTTTTCGTAAAATACACTTGACGTCCAATCCAAACATAACACAGTAGGAAAACTCAACATTTATGTGGGAGCTCTGGTAATCACACAATAGGCCCTGGCGGGCTATGTATGCCCACAGGATACACTTTTTGAATTCTAGGACTGCAATGCAAAGTCCGTTCATGTTGAGACTGGCTGACTAGACAAGAAGTCAGTATTATAACACAACCCGTTTCTATATGATGTAATTTATTTGGGTTGAGTTAAAATAATGGATTAACTCCCCATTGTGGCTTTGCATTATGTTTGCATTGCTAGCACAAACAGTTCCAGCAACCATAATTTAAAGAATTGTGTCAGCATTATGGGTAAATGCAGCAGTCTTTGAGTACAATACCATGATTTAATAAAGATCATACAGATAGTAGGTAAGACCACAAATAGTTCACATTAGAATGTTCTCAATGATAGCTTCTGACCTCATTTTTTTATGCTGCCCTCACAAAATTATTAAAGCCCCAATTGTAATAGGTGAATTATAGTTAAAATACTAAAATAAATGTTAAAAATAGAGATGTACAAAACATTTTTGTACTTTAACTGTACAAAATTCTATTCTCCTTCATGTGTTCCAGGAGTCATATGTGCATTTCTAAAAAAAGTACTATAGGAAACTAAAAGAAACATGATCGCGTCATCCCAAGTACTAATGGGTCAAGTTTTAATTCACATCCTTTGATCTACTCCTGCCCTCTCTGATGGTACATTTGGAATTTAATTATTAGAGCTTGAATTCCAGGAAAAGAACCAAGTAGATCCATAACAATAAAAAACAGAGAAATAGAAATCATGTTAAAGGTTTTGGAACATATCTGCAGTTAGTTAGATCCACACATATATACATACACAAAAGT